TTCTTGCAAAAAAGTTGGTAAGACAAAGCAAAGAAAAATAATCTTTATATTTTTTTACCACTTATGCCTAGACTAATTAATATTACTATTCAGTTTAATTAAAGCATATCTAGTTCGTCTGGGGGACGCTATCGGTTAACTTAGAGGTAGTTATAGAGTGCTGCATATAAACACTGACTCAATTACTCTTCGAAATAAGAGGATGATAAATGATAAAAGGAAAAAACATCTGATGGAGAGCGAGGAAACTCTAGATACGACGAAAACTAAAAGTAAAATTTCCCCGATATTGTTTTAGAGCTATTACAAGAAACTGACTAGGGAATCGAGACTAGGCTTCCTCTTTGTTGTACACACTATTTTTCTGTTATCATTAATAAAAAAGCAGAAAACACGAAAGTAATCACGGCTTTAACATAGAAGCGAGATAAAATGCAAAAAAGTGTTGAGCTCGTGCACCATTCAAAAAACAGAAGAGTATATCTGACACTAAATTACTTACATTTTATACAAAGACAAACTATGAAAATCTTTTGAAGCTATTACTTTCTCAGTATCTAAAGAATTACAAAGACAAGCATGTAATAATTTTCTTTTGAATCGTTTTTAACAACTTGCTGTCCGTCGTCGTCGTTATTCAGATGCAAAAAGGTTTATTTTAAGCGAGTTTTTTTAAATTTTGCTTAGAAAGAAGTGTCCAGATTTAAACAAGTGTGAAATCAATCAATCAGCTGGACTCATTCGTTTCTTAAACAAACGTCACAGTTCTTTTGCTCTGAATACGGGCTATTTCCTTCTTTTTTGAACTGACCATCTTACTCACTCCATTTTTTAATTAATCTGGCTCTTATGAGTACACAAGTCTCTTCTTTCGCATGGAAAAAATCAGAGCTCTCTAACTGCTTTCTGTCAAAGGTTATTCAAAAAACTCCCACGGCTGTTCTTTTTTGACGTTTTTCTCAAAACTTGCTTTTGTTCGAACATGCCCAGTGTGGAACCCTTTTTTTGAATATACTTCAAGCTAGAGATCTCGGGTTGGTTTTATTTTAAACTAGACACCTAACTGCGTGAGGCGCTGGGATCCGATTTTTGATTTAGGTCTTCGTTAGTTTTCTAGAGATCGAAAATTCTCAAAAACCCGAAAAATGTTTACGGGTTTTCCAGAGATTCTTGATTTTCTAGAAAAGGAAAGCCTAATTCAAAAATCGGGTCCCAGCACCTCACGCAGTTAGGTGTCTAGTTTAAAATAAAACCAACCCGAGATCTCTAGCTTGAAGTATATTTTAAAAAAGGGTTCTACACTAGAGGGTGGTTTTTGACTCTGAAAAACCCCGGAACGGTAAGAGATAGCGAGCTAAAAAAAATTTCATAACCACACTTTGATATGGTAAATATTTGCTGAAAGTTTGATCAAAATCCGATATAAGACAAAAAAGACTTTTTCTGAGGGGGGAGGGGGGGCCCTTAAAGAAAAAACAAATGTATTATCCATTCCAGAAGTCAAGGAGACGAGTTTTTTGAAACAGGTTTGCTAGGAGATCTTTAGAAAAATACGTCGTCTGTAAAGATTTTCCAATAGGGCTGTATTGCTTTTTTCTTATGGACTGATAGCTCAGGATGTCCTCTTCAAAATGGGAGTAAAGTGAGACCTTGATTTTCCACGGTTCGGGCGTTGTATCGAATTTTTTACAAGTCTAAGGACTGGCACCCGGTGACTACTGGTAGCCTTAAAAACTGATGGACTATGGGTAATCGACCATAGTGAATTTCGTGGAAATATTATTTTTAGAAAAAGTTTTAAAAATCTACCGAAAAGCCAGTTTTACGAAAATTAGGGTTTTCAGGTTGTTTTCACCTAATATTAAGAAATTCACTATTCACTTAAAAAACATCAGAACAAGCTCAAAAGTTCAAAATGTAGAGTATTTAAGTTATTCTATATCCTTTTCACAGGAGATCTCAAAATAAATTTTACAGAGCTCTTAGATTTTCCAAAAGGATTTCTGTAAAACCTATTAGCAAAAATATGCTTTTAGATCTTTTAATCACATTTAGCGGAGAACATTAATCATATCCTGAGAATTTGAGCTTGTTCTGATGTTTTTTAAGTGAATAGTGAATTTTTTAATATTAGGTGAAAACAACCTGGAAACCCTAGTTTTCGTAAAACTGGCTTTTCGGTAGATTTTTAAAACTTTTTCTAAAAATAAATATTTCCACGAAATTCACTATGGTCGATTACCCATAGTCCATCAGTTTTTGAGGCTACCAATAGTCGCCGGGTGCCAGTCCTTAGACTTGTAGAAAATTCGATACAACGCCCGAACCGTGGAAATTCAAGGTCTCACTTTACTCCCATTTTGAACATAAAAATACTACACTGTACAGCTTGATTTTTGCTGTTTCTTATCTTTATTTAGAACGGTTTGTCTCTCTGAGTCTTAGAATCGGCCACACTTATTTTAATTCTTTCTCTTTTTTCAAAAATATCTACCAATAGTCACCCGGTGACTATTGGTAGCCTTGAAAAGGGATGGACTATAGGTAATCGATCACGCTGAGTCTCGTGGCAATATTTGTTTTTAAAAATAAGGTTTTAAAAATCTACCGAAAAGCCAGTTTTACGAAAAATACGGTTTTCAGGCTGTTTTCACCTAATATTAAAAAATTCATAACTCACTCAGAAAATATCAGAAAGATCGAACATAAAAATACTACACAAGAATATTTTTTACTACTTTTTTACTCTTTTCGATCGACGATCTTTAACTGATAAGATCACGCATTTCATGCAAGCAAGGAGTTATAGGATGACTTGAAGCAGTAGCATCTTGATCTATATTCAGATACAAAGCGTTTATTACAGAATATTTCCAATATTTGTTTAAATAAGCCATTCATCGTAGATAAAGTAAAAAGTCTTAGATTTAAATATTTCAAAACTTCAGTTGCATTTTCAGAGCAAAATCAGAAAATTCAAATATTTTCTAACGCTGTACCTCTGCTAATGCTATTGTTGTTCGCTCATTCGAAATTTATCCAGATAGTCCTGGCAGTTTTTCCAAAAAACCTAGCTTAAAACCTCAGGTTTTCTAGAAAACTCTTCCAGGAATCGTTTTAGAATATTCTGAATTGGTCATTTAAAAGAGCATACTTCTTACACTCGATGCTACGAGTTTCACAAAAATTAGACGCCTGGTTGATCAAAGCTGGTGAAATAAGTCCTCATCGGGATTATATTTATATCTCACCACAGTCTTTTAAATTTTATGGCTATATATCTGGATACAATACATAATAACTGATACGCACATGTGGCATTTTCCTTTTAGAAAAATGCAACCTGCAATTTCGGCTTCTTTTAGCATTTTGCATTCCAAAATCCAAAAAGAGACGACTTTGCATCCCGAAAAGTGGTATTGGTATTTTTAAAAATAAAAGCTGCGTCTTTTTGCCTTTTTTGCATGCAAAACACCTCCGTTCTCTTTTGGTTTGATTGTCTGCGCATTATTTTGTTTAATGTATACTATATTATATACTCTACTAAAGAATTTTGAAACTTTCTATCGTGAAAATCTATCCATTAATATCTTTAAACGTAATAAAAGACATTTCTTCTATCGATCCCAATGAGTTGATTTTAGTTGATTTTTGTATTGTTGTTGTTAAAGATACAAAAGGCAGTGTGGTACTCTATTTCTGCAGTGATTTTATAAATGGTTCTTCTGGAACCACTATGGGGGTTAAAGGGTTCAACTTGATGAAATGAAAATTAGGAAAACAATCTTTTTGGATAATGATGATGATTTCTCTTGCAACTCAATGTAATTTATAGAACTCCACGTAACTCTGTGAGACTCCAAGAAACTCCACGTAGTCTCACAGGTCCACAGAGTCGCTCATTCCACTCTGGACTGTTTTCTAATCGGCTTTCAACATAAATCTTGTGTAATGCATGTATTTTATTTACAATTTTTTTTGTCACCGTATATATAATACAAATATTTAAGCCGATCTTTAGTAAAATCATCCGGAGAAAAAAGAGGTAGACCTTCGCGCAAATGCTGTAACGCTTGTTCTGTTTCACCCATGTTACCAAGTACTCTGGCGATATTCCGTTCTGTTCGAGCAATTTCCATATGTTCTGACGGTAGACGTTTTCTCTGTATGATTAGACATTGTTGAAAATAATCCAGAGCCAAATTAAGATCACCTTTTTCATAGTAATAGGTTGCCATATAACGTGAAAGTGTGGCTGTTTCCAAATGATCCGCTGGTGAACATTTGCGTAGTATGGTGAGTGCTTTTTTGCCATATTCTATCGCTCCATCAATGTCTTCCATGAAGTAACGAATTTTACTCATTTCAGCCGATGTTAGGGTAATGTCAAAATGATCGACGGGTAAACATGCCTGTTGCATGCTCAATGCACGCTCTTGATAATGAAGACTCTCAGCGAGAAGGCATGGAGCAGGAGCTCCCTCGTATAAGCCAAATTCCGACAAGCCAAAGTAGCTTTGACCTATGGTAAACAAACAACTGGCGATGTCACGATGATTTGACGATGGATCGTAATATTTCTCAAAACTTTTGAGCGCTGTCTTACTATATTCCAGTGATTCGGTGAAGTCCTCCTTATGATTCAATACAATGCCTTTGTATAGCCAGATGTATGCTAATTCTTTGAGGCCAAGTTCATCTGTTCGATTTCGTACCATTTCATGAGCAGTTTCAAAATGTTCGAGAGCAGCATCATAGTCATCGTGATTATCGTATGCATCGCCCAAATGGAAATAAATTCGTGCTATATTTGTATTCTCAGTTGAATCTCTAAGTAGATTCTGAAAATAACGTATGCATTTTTCATAGTGACCCATTTTGTTAAGTAGAGCACCAAAAAGAATTGGTGAACTTTCATCTTCCACTTCCTCTCGGGATTGTCGTATGAAATCGTTGACCGCATTTTGTCGTTCGTTGCTTGCCGTCATCTTTACTATCCAGACCGGTGGACATTGTTGATTATCTTGTGTAACAGATATTATTTGAAAAGCAGCACCAAGATCAAACAAGACTTCTTCTTCGTCGGGTATTTCACTGTAATCTGAAATATCAGCAAAGATGACATTCATTTCGGCATTACATTCAATCTCAAATAGAACTCCGTTTGTTGCTGATGTATTTGAACCAACATAAATTTCGGCCACTGATCGTGAACGACTAGTGGAGAAATAGCCATTGATCGATATGAGATGATTTATATTTGCTTTTAATTTCTCGAATTCAGCATGAGGCATTGTTGCTCCTCGATAAAGAAAAATGGTTTCTCTAGAGCGTGAATTTCGGTATTCTCGGTTGAGACTTGTAGATAGATCAGTAATGTAATATCGAAATACATATAATTGTTCAACATCTTGGGTTCTCAACGCTTTATTAATCAGCTTATAAATAAAAGTATCTTTTGTATACCAACGAATAGAATTATCAATATGATATGTTCGTTCAAATTCATCGATTTTAGCGAGCACCGTTCGATTGCCTCGATAGTAATCGCGACAGGTATCGATCATTTCTTGTTTGGCTTTTTGATCGTGTGGCAAGCTATGAATCATTTCATTAAAAAGTTGTAACCTATTTTAACAGAAAAACGAGTAGAATTTACCTTGTTTTCATGTGCTCGAGCAGACTTACCAAAGAAAGTCAGATTGTTGTTCAGTAATATTATGTGTTGATGATTGGTTTTGATCAAAATAATTAAATAAATCCATGTGTTTGCGAAGTTTGATGATTGTTGCGATAATAGTTTTTTCAAGATTTGCCCAATCGTTAGACATACCCACGAGTTTGGTTGTGGAATATGCATGTGATGTCGAATCTGCAATTGTATCAGCATTATCAAAAATGAAGACTGAATCAAGTTGAACAAGATCGTTGAGTGCAGGTAGGATTGCACAGGCACCTGCATTTGATGTAACAAGCAAAATTTTTTCTGTATTGACTGATTCTGCATAGGAACGGCACACATCTAAATCATGGTAAATTAGAGAAAAATCGTTAATAGCACGCAGACGCTCTATTAGTTCTCCGTCATTGTCTTCGTCGTCTGCACATAGATCAAACCAAACGAGAGTGATACTTTCTTTATTTATGCGTCGACGACGATGATCATAAGGATAATGTGCAAGGTATGGAGACCATACATCCAAGTGAAATAGTCGCGTCATCGGTAACGTGATACTGTAATTGTTCGGGTTAGGCAATGAAGGTGTTGACGGAGTATTTGGTTTGCAACTGAGCAGGGGGATTCTTTTACCAGTGCATATAAATGGAATGCTTTGAGAAACATTCCACATTGATTCTTCCTTTTTCCATTTGAGTAAAAACATGACGATTATTCATTGTTGTGCATAATACAGTAATCTACCTTTTCGTCTATTGCAGAAATGCCAGTCGACATCTATGCGACATTGAGTCAACAACTGTTCTATTCTTTTGAGAAAAAGAAAAAAACGAGCTACCTCAGAGGATCATTCAAAGTAATGTCACGTTGTAATATATATTGCTGAAAAGGAAGAACAAGGTGTAACGAAAAAGAAAAAAATCTTTCTTTATCTATCACAATTTCGGTCTATCACATGGAGATAAAAACTATGATTTAAAATCATTTATTAAAGTACTTGTTTAGTTTTATGAACCAAATTGTCATACCCAATTGAAAACTATAGGATATATAGACAATCACGCTAAAAAATTGGTGCTTGTATTACATTTTGGAAGAAAATGCAATGTAGACATAAATTTGAAAAATTCTTTGATATCACTGATCAATCATCATCATTCAGTTATGATCAAAATGTAATTGATGAATTAAATAGATTATACGATCACAATCAAACATCCGATAAAAGTCTATTATTCACAACAACAGGATAAAACTAGCAAGCTCTCACGCCGTTTTTTCCATTACCGAAAACAAGGTTTACTCATAAGCACGCAAACATGTCGAGAGCGTTACGCCATTACGACTTTCAAAACGCATAAAAGTTACACGGCTCTCTAACTAACGAAAGTCAACGTGCCGTCTTTACGTCTCTACGAACCGGTGTTTCTCTGTAATGAGGCATGAGAAGAGAATACTAGTTATTAGCATTTGATTCAAGTTGACTTGAAAGTTTTTTGCATTGTTACTATATACTTTTGCGTCATATCGTTGAAGCATTTAATCGTTTAAAATTTATTTGAAATCAAGTTAATGAAGAAATATTTTACAGACAATTTGTTCTGATAATAAATAGTTCGTATGATTGTTTACTGAGGGCTGAGCAACTCCGCCGAAGTTCAACTCCAACTCAACTCTAACGCTAGTTAACACCGAAGAGAAAGCGAAGGACGAAGTAAACACTAGTTGTCAATCATGATCAGATTAAGATAGATTGCAAGTTTCGTTCACAGATACTTTCACAGATAACTACAAATTGAAAAGACATAAGTTGTATGATAAGAATGAAAGAATATATCTTACATCTTTATCTCACATTAATACAAACCCATCATGCGACAATCGATTTCATTAACGTGACTTTCCCAGTAAACGTGTGCATTTCGCTTGCAACGCAGAAACCTGTGCAATGTAAGGTGGATCGTAAATAACGGTACGATTTTCATTCATGGCAATGTCTCTATTAGTTTAGATACATATGACTAACGAGGAAACGTTCCCAACTGACCAATTGCTTTCGAGCCGAAACCTAGTGGACCATAGGTAGTCGATCATGCTGATTCCGAAAATCAACATGAGACGAGCTAATAGGCCTCCCGAGAATGCTCGAGAACTCGTTTCCAAGAAAACCGGTCTCTGGATTCCTATTAGCCCGTCTCATATTGATTTTCGGAATCGGCATGGTCGACTACCTATCGTTCACTAGGTTTCGGCTCGAAAGTGATTGGTCAGTTGGGAACGTTTCCTCGTAAGTTTATATTATAATCATAGTAAGATCTGGGATAGCAAGAAACTGAACAGTACTTTCTTAGGCGTTTTCTGTTTTCTGATTTAACCCGATAATAATATTGTCGTCCTAAGAATTGCAAATAAAACTAGTTTAATGTAAACCGTTTTATAAAAGTACTAGAACCACACGAGCAGTTAACTTAAAATAGACAAAAAATTGAAGAAACATCCGAGCGATAGCATTAGTTCGCTCGATTGCCCTTCTCGAAGTGAAATGAGCTAGCTAACCGCAAGTAAAATGAAGCAGAAGTGAAACAACCTTAGAAGGGTGAGACTTTGTAGAAATTCGTGAAGGTAGATATTTTAGCTACTTATCCTTTCTTTCCAATAAGCTAATCGTAAACTAATATATGACCACCAAAAGATTTTCTCGACATACTCAAAAATCTTCACGCCAAAGACCCGCACATAATACTTACTTACTAAACTGGAGAGTCAGTGAACCATTTGAACGTCACGAAATTTAAGGTCACCCAGTAACGCTTCCGGGCAACCGTTTTCCGTAAACTCCGCCATATTTTCCTCCTTGAATATTCCCACCCAGTCCACATAAAACGCAATATAGCTTATGCAGCAGGCCCTCGAGCGCTTCGTATCTACTCTAAACGATGCAGATTGTAAAAGAGATTGTCAACATCCGGATTTGGTATCCACTGATTAAGCGTGAGGCAACGTGGTATAAACACTCCCTCGTCGTTTCGAAGGAGATAACGATTAGATGTAGATAAGGGAAGTGTGTGTTTACCGTGTAGCCTGTAAACAAAATACCGATGATTTCGTTTCAAGCAGATTAATGTGCAGAAATAAACGAAAGAGTGTCAGAAATAATGCGCTGATATTAGGCATGGCTGTTTGTATACTCACCGACAAGATGAGAACACCGAAGAGAAAACGAAATAAACACTAGTTGTCAATCATGACCAGATCAAGACAGATTGCAAGTTTCGTTCACAGATACTTTCACAGATAACTACAAATTGAAAGACATAAGTTGTATGATAAGAATGAAAGAATATATCTTACATCTTTATCTCACATTAATACAAACGCACCATGAGACAATCAATTTCATTAACGTGACTTTCTCAATAAACGTGTGCATTTCGCTTGCATAACTGAGAAATTTTGATTTTATTCGATCAGCTGTATGATTGTGACAAATAAAAGGGAAAGAAAATCGGATAAAAGTAGATTGATATCTCAGTATTCGGAGATTCTAACTGGTTTTCTAAAGACCTCCTAGAAAACACCTACCGACCTTATCTTTTGCCGCAGATAATACCTAATGGCTTTTTTCTGACACAAACAAGCACTTTTCCGCAACATATGTTTGCGTATGTGCCAGATGATATCGATACATGTATATATGAACTTCCGAGTTTTGCCGTTTCATTTGAGATACTACAAGATTATATTTTGCGATGTTCGTTTTTCGTCGTTTTTGGGATCCTTTCAGCCTCTCCTGGTAACCCATCTATGAACATGCTCCAAAACGGAAGTTAGGGCCATATAGTCCAAGTGGTGTAGTATACGGGTGACTATGTCGATTTATATAACAAGTGCTTTCGGACATAAAAATTTAATTTTTAAAATGCTTCATTTTCACTTTCTCTGAACTTTGTGATGGCCTACACCCCTCGTGAACTACGTTTCTCAGACCAAAGTTATAAATTTGAATAAGTCGAAAAGGAAGCATTATCCAGCAAAAAAATTTTGGAAACCCTCCTAAATGTGTTATCGCTACCTACTGTGAAAGTTTGGTCGCGAAAACTGGATATCAGTTGAGCAGCATAGGTCGTGCCAACAGTGCAACGGCTCATAAGACCGTTTCCATCACTTTTTCTATTTCTCTATTGATCGATTTGACGACCACAGCACAACAAATATGTAATACTAAAATTATGCACTTACAATGCTTCAGCGATGACGGTTATGACATTTCTGATTAAAATGAGACATCTCCCAGCTCTACAAGGCCTTTCTTTACAAAGGAGTAGTATCGATAAGTCGGTTTTTCGTTTCAAAAAGTTTCCGATTGATAGTCACTTATTTGGAATCAGCGTCGAATTCTGAACAAAATGGCCGATTCAGATTTTTTTGAAAAAATTTTATTTTTCGCCTGCCAAATCTGCCCCCTGTCCCCCCTTTGGAACATTGAAAATTTAAGTTGTGCA